TCGAAAATCAAAGTTATTTCCCATTAATAGCATTATTTGTAAGCAACTTTTAATGTTAACATATTAATGACAGTTTGAAGAAACCACCTTTATCCAAACAAAGATTTCTTATTTAAAAGATTACGTAATCTCTAAACGATGATCGGTATATATCTAGCAAATATTCGGAGGAAGTGTGACAAAAAACGCACAAATCTGGGGTTTTGGACGTTTGTAGTTTTACTTCTTAAGTAGGAAAAGTACCGATATCGTTGTCGAAATGTAAGTACTGTAAGTAGAAACCAAAGTGACATATCGGAAAAGCGTTTTTAGCTACATCTGTAAGTTAAACCTCTGTATACGATCACAGCGAAATCAGAAAGATCTTCTAAGATCGCAGCAACATCACTGCAGTTGTGATTTTTTACTTTGCAAAGTCAAAGTCAAAGTCAAAACATTCTTTATTCATTATAGTTTCACATTACATGAACTTGAATAGAGTCATAAGCTAAATTCAAAATTGCTTACTGCTAATTAAATACATAAAAAGAGTACTAAAATTACTTTACTTGAACTTTTAACAAAACCATGACTTTAAGGATAACAGTATTTGGAATTCAAATTAAGTTAGGCCTAACTGTTTTTTACTAATACTAAAGAATTCTGTTACTGAGTAGCAGGGAGTTCTTAAAAAATATTCCTTTAAGAGCTTCTTGAATTTATTAAATTTTGTTTCTTTTCGGATGTGAGCTGGTATAGACTGGAGAAATTTTAGCCCTATGTAAGATGCCTTTTTAGTGTAAAATTCGAGATTATGCCGAGGTAGGTTAATTTTTAATCTGGTGTTATATACTAATTGTTCTGTTGAGCTGGATGATAGTTGGATCTGTTTTGCATAAATTATTGTTTCATAAATATAAAGACTATAAACTGTTAATATTTGTAATTCACGAAAGATGCTCTTGACTGGCTCTTTCTTTTTAAGATTTTTCATCACCCTGATAGCTTTTTTCTGCTTAATTAGTACTTTATCTAAATTAGTTTTTGTTGTTACCCCGTATAGAACAATTCCATATGAAATATGTGAATGTATTAATGAGAAATAAACAACTCTTAAAGTGTCTAAACTGCATACTCTGAACATCTGTCGCAGCGCATGGATACCGGAAGATACCTTTTTAACCACATAGTTCACATGGCCCTCCCAAGATAGATGTTTATCGATAATTAGACCAAGAAATTTTGTTTGCTTTACTTGGTTTATTCTTTCTGATTTTATGCAAATGTTTGGTTCAAAATTTTGTCTACGTTGTTTAGTGGAAAATGATATAAAATTGGATTTTTCTGTGTTAATAAGCAGATTTTTTCGGTCAAGGAATTCTTTAGTGGATAAAAGACTCTCCTGAGAAAACGTGTCAATCTGTTGTTTTGATCTTCCGGGAATAAGCACATTACAATCATCAGCAAACAGACACATAGACCCGCCGTTACCAGGAATCGCTCCCGGCATACCTCTAATATAGCAGAGAAAAAGTAGAGGCCCCAGGATCGATCCCTGCGGCACCCCATATTTCAGCGTCTGATGCTGAGATCTACATTTTTCAACGTACTTTGTGTTTGCATGCTCCACAACATAATCCAGTTCAACAAATTGGTTTCTGTTTTCTAGATATGATGTAAACCATGCAAGCTCTTTTCCATAGATTCCCATTTCTTTTAGTGAAGTCAACAATATACTATGTGACACGCTGTCAAATGCCCTACTAAGATCCAAAAAGATTCCTACAACATTTTCTCCTCTGTCAACAGCATTTATTATAGTTTCTATGAATTCAATACCAGCTGTTATTGTTGATTTGCCCTGCCGAAAGCCATGTTGTTCTTTATCAAATAGTTGATTATTTTCCAGATATTTATAGACCTGAATGTAAACAATGCGTTCAAAAATTTTTGAAAAAACAGGTAAGAGAGAGATAGGGCGGTAACAGGAGGGATCAGTTTTATTACCTTTTTTAAAAATGGGAATTACTTTAGCCAATTTTAATTTTGAAGGAAAGATTCCTGAAATAAGAGAAGAGTTTATGATATGTGTTAGTGGTTTCTGGATAATGTGTATTGATTTTTTAACTATGGTGATTGGAATTTCATCAAAACCTGCAGAGTACTTGTTTTCAAAGGAAAGGACCACTTTAGTGAGGTGTTCTTCCGTTATTGTGTGAAACTTAAATGACTTATCTGTAGGTAAAATATTTTTCTGGATATCTGTTTTTTGTGTAAGTGAAGGAGAAATGTGTGGCAATATAAGCTTTTCCACAGCTGATACAAAGAAATTATTAAAGTTGTTACTGACAGCTACTGGATGCTTAAGGAGTTTACCATTTTGCTCTATACATATCGGTATGTTGCTGGTAAAATAACTTTTTGAGTTAAGCTTTATTTCACTTTTAATTATGTTCCACGTTGCTTTAGTTTTATTAGAAGAGTGTTTTATTTTCTCATTATAAAATGTTTGTTTGGCTTGGTGTATTGATTCTTTTAGTTCCTTTTTCTTAACCTTTATCTTTTGATTGCACTTTACACAACTGTCCTTAAAGCGCCGTCAATGAGTGGAAACCTTTTTTGTAAGCTATTGGTGACGATGATTAAAAAAATGTAAGTTTCCCAGCACTAATACAACACTGATTCGCAGTATTTTCCCTGGTTATCAAAACTCAAGAACAATCGTTGCACTTGCGATTAATTAAACCGGTTAAGTAAGGCACAACGTTTTTAATCTCACTTGGTTTGGATGTGCTAACAAAACTTGATCAGAAATGGTTGCGGTATTTGTAAACAACTTTTAATGTAAACATATCAGTGACAGCTAGAAGTGAGAACTAATGACAGCTGATCGTTAATTCATAAAATGTAATGTAATAGTAAACATTGGGAAAATATTTGACAAAAATTGAACAAAATTGGGTTTTTGATGGTTCGTTATTTTGTTTTAAAAGAAGCGAGGCCATGTTTTTATAGCCAAAGACACTCTCACCATTCCAGTAAATACAGAAAAATGATTAGAACCTTGATCGGTACTCTAGTTTTCTAGGAGTAGGCCGCGTAAAATGACATTTTCGCGTTACAGATGGGACCACAGAAAGGACAGACAGACAAACAGACAGAAATTGAGATAAGACTCGTTTCGACTTTCTTAGGCTATGAAACGTAAAAATAACAAAAAAACTGCATGATTCTAAGCAATGTACAGACAAAACTGTAATTTTATTTATATAGATATATATATACGTCCGTGAACGCGATAACTTGAGTAATTTTTGTCCGATTTTGATGAAATTTGGTTTAAAGGTCTAAAGCGGGATAAACTTGAATGAGTTCGCGAACCAGCATGATCGGACCATGGGAACGGAGCTTTACGGGGGGTTTTATGGGGTAAAAATTGTTTTTTCTCACTTTTGACCCTCAAAACACAAAATTTCCCAATTTCTCTTTAGACCTTTTTAAAGAGCTTAAAAAAAAAACAAATAATTTAGTATATAAAAGTATTTTTGTTCGATTATTGGTATCGGAGAAAATTTAAAAAAATTAAAATTTTAAATTCCCATGTTATTCTTATATTGTAAAATGTTGCAGTTTGCTTGTTTATGGATATATTTTGATCAAACTTGGCAAATTTATTTATTTTATACTAAGCTATCAATATCTTACTAAAAAACACACATTATTAGTTTCCTTGTAGCAGCAAACCTAGGTACTCGTTAAACCTAATGTTATTTAAATATATTTAATTGAAAATCAATTCAGACAAATGGAAATTCGCTTAGTCGGCAGGTTTGCTGCGGCGGGGGTATTTTGTAATATCTTCATTAACCTTAACGTGGTATTTATTTAATGTGTTTTTAAGGGTTTGAAACTTAAATTGGCCATGTAAAATTTTTGTAATTTCTGCATTAATTATACAGGGTGAGGCAATGAGAACGCTACAATTTGTTTTAGATGTCGCATGTTAATTGTTGCAACAATGAATGATCAGCTGTGCTTATAACATCCATTAAACTAACTATGCAATTTTAGTAAATATTATGCCTGAGGCTATTAACACTGAGATTTTGATGTGAAAACCTATTTTAAAAATAGTGATTCTTGTGCAAAAACCCAGAGATTCTTTGGACCACATTCTATCCTTGTTCAACATGGCGCGTTTCCCGATTGGAAAACAATGGTGAACTGGGTAAAATTATTTAGGATAAACGATTAAACCTAAAAAATAATCGGTGGGTGCCGCAAAACTCTTTGTATACCAGCAAATGTTGAAAGAGTGAGAGTCGCAGTAACTCAAAGTCCAAAGGGATTTTCCAGGAATCTTTTGTTGTTGAAAGCTTTACGTTGGCTCCTTTTTTGAGAGGGGGGGGGGGGGGTTGTTCTAGTAAGCTACTTGAAGTTTGAGGTTTTTCAAAGTCGCCCCACAGATTTATTTGAACTGGAGCTAAGAATCGTCCAGAAACTAAAGTGAACCTGAAGAAATGCTAGAGGAGTATTTGATGGAGTTGTGCCTTAAAAGGAATGTCAAGTAGGACAAGGACGTCACTTGCAGGATTTTGTTCTCAAGAAATGGAAAAAATGACGTTGTTAAGTTAAAATGGCAAAAGATAAGCTGTGTTTGGATGTGCTATTTATATCTATAGGGTGAATACTAATGAGTTTGTACAGCTTATAAATTGGGGCGCTTTCATTGCCCCACCCTGTATATGTAGCCCAATTGACAAACAACCCATAACTCCAAAATCACATACTATATGAAAGTACATAAAGACAGGGGATGGTGTAGTAATTGAAAAATGTTTTAAGAATGCAGTAATTTTAATTAGGTAGTAATTAATAATTGTGTAAGAAGAAATCATATAGCAAGTCTTATAAAGCATTATTTAATAGTTTTCAAATTTGAGTACACTATTAACACATTTAACCTGTCTGGTGACAATTTACTCTACTTCACATACCTAAAGTTTTTTTAAACCTTTCAGTGGAAAGGCACGAAAAGGAGATGGTAACGATTTGACTCCTAACCCTCGAAAACTTCAAGCAATTGGCAGAGAGTTAGATAAACTCACACGGACTATAAATGACATGACTCCAGTCAGTGAGCTACCATTTAATGTTCGACCCAAAAGTAGAAAGGAAAAAAATAAACTGGCATCAAGGTATGTACTAATAATAATATAAAACCAAAATCCTTAACATATTTAAAGTTACTATAGAGTAGATGTGTATAATGTGTCACTGTTCACTCTTTTCTTATGCCGACGATTCACAGCTACTCTTCTCATTCAAAAAGATTCATCAGTGGTCAAAAAATCATTGTCTTAGGCCAGGCGCACACAGGCGATTTTGAGTCTAGCAACAGTTGCCCGACTTAAATGTTCAGCATTGTTTTAAATTGGAGTGCGCACACCAAGGAAACAGTCTAGGGACAGTCGCGCAACTGTTGCAACCGATGTTCCCGGACCCAATTCGCCAGAGACAGCTCTGCGACTCAATTGTCGCGGGACTATCGCTCCAGGTTTGGTATCCATTGAAACAAGTGTAGACGCGCACACATGCGACTAAATTGTCGCTGTGACGCTCAGTCTCACCCCAGGCTACTTGTGGCCAGAACTGGCACTCGGGTTTGCTCTCTTTTTGTTGTGTGAAGTTTTTAGAAAATTACTTAAATATGAGTGTCGGCGACGAGGATGTTGAACAAATTAATTGATGAAGTTGGAAGAGGCCGCATTTATATTTTAAGTAATTGAAAGACTATTCACAAGTTGCTCACTATATATGGAATGAACCCAGTATCTTCTTTTCTTCTTTCGCACGCGAAACTTCAACAACAAAGCACATATTATGGCTGTATCATTGAAATCCATTCGGTACTATTAACGCTGTTAACAAATGTAATGTCCAACTTACGTCTTAAAGATTCACGACTAAAAAGTTGCCTGTGTGCGCACTCCAGCTCAACTGTCGCTAGACTTCAGAGTCTCCGAGTGGGTTGCGCAACAGTCCCCCAATTAGTCGGGCAACTGTTGCTAGACTCAAAATCGACTTTGTGCGCCTGGCCTTAGGTTAAATACTGAGAAGTGTTCAGTAATACATTTCAGCAATTGCTTGAGAAACACTCTTTTAAGCCACCAAAATAATGTAAATATACTTTTGGAAAATGATTTAAAATTTATGATTAATGATTAATGATTAAAATTTCCAAAACAAGTAAAAATAATCGTACAAAGGCTTATATCTATACTCAAAATGTTAAATAGATTTTAGGCATATATTAGCTGAGAATGTAAAATTACAAATGGTTAGCTCTGGTAATGCCAATAATAAATTATGCTTTGCCTGCCTTTGGGTTTTCATTGTCAGCAGAAAATTTGAATATCTTGGATTGCTTGCAAAATAATGCTCTAAGATTTGTATATGATCTAAAAAAAATTGATCACATATCAGAAACAAAAGTAAAATGTTCCCAGTGCAGGTTGTTTGCGTCCTTGAAACTGTTGCTATAGTACATAAAGTGGTCAAAACCAACAGACCCTCCTACCTCAAAGATTACCTAACCACTCAAAAAGAAGTACAAGATAGGTGGACAAGACAGGATAGCCTACTGCATTTGCCTCGTGTAAACTTTGAATGTAGTAAGAACAGGGCCGTTCTGGGACCCTCAAGAGGGCGCTGGACAAAGTGTCATGAGGGCGTCAACCAAAAACCGGGGGGTACGGGGGGTATGGAATACCCCCCATGGGGCGGGGGGTCCGGAAAATTTTGAAATTTTAGGTCTAAAATTAGTAGTTTTTAACCTCTTTTATGCTATTTTGACAAGAAATTATATTTATATTTATAAACTATTTATTTAAAAAAATATTATTTCAGCCAGAAAATTACCATAATTTTTTCAGGGTTTAAAAATATTGCAGTCATTAGTATTGTGTTAAAAACATTTAATTTGCTTAAAGTTTATTAAACATACATGTAATACGGCTACATGAGAAAAAAATATTCAAGTAGATCACACTATCATAGAATTAGTTAAGATTCAAAACTTAACTCAAAATACCTCATTTAGTATATAAATAACAATTGGGTATTGTAATAATTAATTGTGATTATGCCGAATAAGCCATATGTATAATAATAATAATAATAATAATAATAGTAATAATAATACGGCTACATGGCTACATATGTGCAAAGTGCAAAAAATAAAGGAGATTACACTATCATTAGAATTAGTTAAGATTCAAAACTTAAACTAAAAATACCTTATTCAGTATATAAATAACAACTGAGTACTGTAATAGTGTGAATAGCTTTCTTAACATATTACATATATTAACTTGTAAATCTAACATTATTATACAAAATAGATAAACAGTTTATCTAAACATTGCCTATGTTTACTTAAATAAGCCATATTTATAATTATAATAATACATCTACATAAGAGCAAAAAATCAAGTAGATTACTCTATAATAGAACTAGTTATAATTTAAAACTTAAACGCAAAATACCTTATTGAGTGTTGTAATAATTTGTGTTGAAATAACAATTGAGTATTGTAATAATCCGAAACCTGCAAATCTAACATTATTTTCAAAACAAGATAAACATTGTCTATGTTTACTTAAACAAGCCATACGTATAATTATATTAAAATACATAAAAATACATTAAAATACATAAGAGAAAAAAATCAAGAATATTACACTGCAATAGAATTATATAAGATTCAAAACTCAATCTCAAACTCCAAATACTGAACTTATTGAGTATATAAATAAGAATTGAGTATTGTGATACAGTATTGTGAAAATTGTGATTAGCTTTCTTAACACATTACAAGTTCTATGCCGATAATTTTAAATCTCCTATTATTAGGCTTATAAACATTAGATAGACCTATGTACTGCCTATGTTTACTTTAATAAACCATATGAATTGTATGCTGAGAAATTGAGTACCAAGAAGTCCTTATGCTTAGTGCGAAAGTAACTTAGAATAACATATTATTCTCAAGAGCTAGTAATAGGCCTACTATCCCTAAAATGAAAGAAGCCTCTTCATTTCCTTGCTGGATTTGCATAGCATGTCAATAATTTTATCACTGTCCACTGAATTCAAAATTTCTGGTTCAGACTGCATCAAAAGTAGAGTTTCTAAATTATCGTTGCTGATGGATGACCTCAGTCTTGTTTTAACAATTTTTAATTTTGAAAAGGTCCGCTCACATGTGACTTGTGTCATAGGAATAGTAAGGAGGTACTTGTACACTTTATAGAGCTCGGGATACTGTAAAGAATACATATTATAATCTAAAATTACTTTAAAGGCACATTTTAAACACATTTTGCATTGCTTATTGCCTTTGCACGTAACCTCTTCTTCTCCTTCTTCTTCTTCATCTTCTTCATCTTCTTCTTCTTTGTCATTCACTTGCTCAATGTCACTGTCGATTACTTCTGCCTTTTCTTTAGCTTCTTCTTTTGATTGGCTATACTCTGGTCCAATATCTTTTTCACATATTTTTGGCCATAACTCAGAAAATGAACAAAGCTCTTCTTTTAGTTTAGATCTATCCAGGCCGGGAAGGATTTCAGTAATTTTGTCCAGGGCATTTGGTGGAATCTTCTCCTTAGCGTCAAATCTTTTGGGATCGAACCATGCAAGGTCTAAGTACAATTGCTTATGTACTAAAAACCGATTTTCCATTGTGTGGATCAAGGTGTCAACAATTCTGATAAAGATCTCAATTCGAAATTTGTCTTCAGGCGATGAGCCAACGATTTCATCATTAGCTTCCTCTCCTGGTAGTTTTTTTACTTTTCTTCTTCTTGTTTCTTTTAATGATGTTTCAATGTAGATATTCGAAAGAGATTCGTCTTCTTTTTCCCGTTCTTCAAGATTTTCATTCATTTTGGCGACAAAATTGTTTGCGGCCTTTACCGTGTCAGGGAATTTTTCTCTTAGATCTGTTAATTTACGGTGAGAATTTTCAATAAATCTCCAAGCTTGGACGAAATCTAAATCTTTGGTCTGTAAATAGTCCGATAAAGGTGTGGTGACTTTAAAGACTTGTAGGAATAGCATTGCAACAAGAATACACTCAAAACTTAATAGTTTTTTTAGGAGAGCATCAGAATCACTTCTAACTTTGGAATTAAAGTCTTGTGAGGTTGAAATCTTAAATAGAGCGATTACTAACTCCAAGTACACCAGTTTTGGAGGTTTTGATTTGACTTCTCCGTCCCAGTCGTCAATCCGTCCAAATATCTTCACAGTGGCATTACTGCGGCTCCGCCACCTTGTCTGGCCTATAGCTTCCAGTTTAAAGGATGGGTTTTCTTCAATAAACTTCTGCAATCTTTTTATTGACTCGTTCATAAAAACATGTACCTCTTGAAGAAGATTGAAAAAGTTTATGCTTTTATTGATACATTGGGCTGTATCTGTCAGCACAAGATTCAACACATGTGCATAGCACCATGTGTGGATGTGATTCGGAATGACACTACATAGCTTGGCAGTAACGCCATTATATTGGCCGCTCATATTTGAAGCGCCGTCAAAAGCGTTTGCAACACAGTTTTCAAGTGGAATATTAGTCTCCTCCAGGACGGTTTTTAGTGTTTCAAATAAACTTTGTCCAGATGTACTTACAACACTCTTCAACGCTAACAGCCTCTCAGTTACTTCAGAGTCCCTGACATACCGGAGTACAAAAGCACATTGGTCTAACGTAGATACATCTATGGTAGTGTCCATCAATATAGAATATTGCACTGCTAGATTTACTTCTTCAGAAATTTTAAGTTTGATCTCATCTTTAATATACTTTAAAATCTTGGCGATCATATTGTTACTTAAAAATGTGACATGACCTCCTCTTCCAACTACTTTTTTGTCAGCTGGTTTTTTTCCTTTGGTTTTCGTCAACAGTTTTTCTAAATTTGCTTTACTTTGGTTAATTATTTTGCTTATGTGCTTGTCTAATATAGAATCGTACTTTCTAACATAAGGATTATTTCCAAGAAATTTCCGTGATTAACTGAAATATCATCAAATGAGTGAGCAGATTCCACTGATCCACGAAATGGAAGGCCTTGTTTTCCAATAAGTTTCAATATGTCTATGACAGTTTCTACAACATGTCTTCTATCCTGA